CTGGCAAAGATCACATAACAGGGTGACCAAGGGAGTTTTAGTGCCAAAACCAGGCCTAAAACCCAACGGAAATGGATCAAGAAAATCTGTCAGCTCAAGTAAAAAGGCTGGTGGGCAGAGGGATAGGTAATATACCGGCAGAATCCTCAGTCTAGACTGGCATTTGAATAAAGAGGAAGCCTGGAGAGAGGAAAAGATTATAGCATCTTCCACTCCCTGACCCCCTGCAACTGTGCTGTGCTGAACATCTACGGGGGCAGAAGTGGAAGAAACTAACATCCTTGCTCACCACCAACTGTCCAATTACACACTCCAGGTAATCCTTCTCATTCACAGTGGAATCATAGATGACAAATACCTTATTAATTATTATTTAACAAGTTGGTATGGAGTAATTAACACTAACAAGACAAGTTGTTATTGTTATCACATGCATCCGGGCAAGGGAGTAACTGAAAGAGGCACAAAATATCTCACCTCTCTTGTTACTTGATGTTTTGCTCCTCTGATGCCATATTTCCCTCTAACTATAATTACCCTAATTAGAGCTTCCTCATCCCTCTCCAAGAGCCAGTTTAATGTAGTGTTTAAAGCACCAGGCTGGAAACTGGGAGACCGTGAATTTTAATCCAGCCTTAGACACAAAGCCAGCTGAGTGACTTTGGGCCAGTCATTTTCACACAGCTGTAAGAAGAAAGCAAGGGCAAGCCACTTTGGAAAATCTTGCCAAGAAAACTGCAGGTGCTAATCCAGGCAGTTGCCAGGAGTCACAGTGACTTGAAGGCTACACAAACAAACAACCCTCTCTCTTCCCCACGTAAATACAGTAGAAAGCAATTAAAAATAGTATAGCTCTTGCTTTTGTTCTAGCCCAAAATCATTCCTCCACAAGACAATCCTGCTTGCTTGCTTGTCTCTAGGTATTGAGGGTTTTTTGGTTGTGTTTTTTTGTTCTTGTTAAGTCAGTGTTGACTCCAGACAACTGCCTGGACTAGTTCCTGCAGTTTTCTTGACAAGATTTCAGTAGTGATTACATAATAAGTTCCATGCTTACCAGGAATTCTCAGACATACATAGTTAGATCTTTCCTACAGAGAACCCTCTATTGGGAATTGAACTCAAGGACCATAAGGACTCTTGATTATTATAGAATGTACATTATCTTTAGGAGCTATCCTGATCCTGGTGCTCAGTATTCCTGCAGGAAGGAATTTTTTAAATAATAATTTTATTAATTTTTAGTTATAACAATAAAAGATAATACAAACTAAAAAGAAAAAAGAAAAGAAAAAAGTGCAAAAAAGCAAAAAAAAATGCTAAGAAAGCAACTTCCCACCTTCATCACAAGTATAAACAATTTCATAATCTCTTCACCTCCTCTCAATTAACAGATATAAAACCCTTCATCCTATAACTCATTTCTTAACTATAGGCAAATCCAGTAAATAATGTCTTCTCCAATCCAGGTGTCAGCAAAAAGTCCAAACAGAGCCCTAAAATAATAATATTAATTAACATTAATTGCACTTTAATATATAAAACTCAACATGATACATCTCAACTCTTAGCTATAAGCAAAACCATATTTAAAAGGCATAAAGTGGTCCTGGTATCCTAGTATAAACAAAAAACTAAAGTTTAACATGATAAAGAGGGACCATTTCTCCTTTTTAAAAAAACAGCTCACAAATATCCCTTCTTTTAGAATAACTGTAAGGAAAAAAAGCTTAAACGTCCTGTTAACTGTAAGCAGACCCAATACACAACGTTTTTCTATTCTAAATGCCAACAGTTCCAAAGAGAACCGTCCCAAATAGCAACATATCCCATTCAAATAAACATTCCATATCTCAACTCTTAACCATAAACAAATTCATATTTAGCAAATATAAAATAATCCCAGTATCATGGGACTAAAGACTAAAGTCTAAAATTTAACATAACAAAGAGGGATAATTTCTCCTTTAAAAAGAACAAGTTCCCAAAATATCTTTGAACATTATAAGTTACTTGTTTTGTTATGTCTTCAATATCAAAAACAGTTTTTCTTTCCCACAAAAATGCATTTATTCTTTAAGATTAATTTCA